TGCCGGTCCTGGTCTGGTACGGGGGCGACACTGAGGGTTGCAGTCCGTTGCCGGACATGAAAAAAGACAAAAAGGAAAAAAAAAAAAAATCATCACCCAAAACATGGGAGGAAGAGAAGAAATTAGGGGGGCAAAGAGAGGAGGGGGAGTGAGTTGTTAGGAACATTGAGGGGTGGGGAGGTGGATATTTTTATGAACGTCTACCAGTCTTTACAAAGGGGTAAGCTGGGAATGGGTTTTAGGTAAATAGTCAGCAAATGCCAACTGTGCCAATAAAGTACTTTCTGACTAACTTAAGTGGCAGCTATTATTATTTTTCCATTTTTTTAGATAGGAAAATTTAGACTTTTTACATAAGAAATTGAGGTTTGGAGCTATCAAGTGGCATATCCATATTTCTACAGCTAGGAAGAAGGTAAATTAGAACCCAGTAAGCTCATCCTGAAGGTGCTCTTTCTTGTACATGTGACTGAGTGCCTCAAAGGAAAGAGGTGATGGAGAGAGGTGCACAGTGCGATAGTCTGAAACTCATCAGGTGTTAACAGTCTGCCTCTGAAAACTGACAAGTTGATCATCTTTAAACTGATGGACAAGAATGTATGCTGGCAAGCTTGGCTCTTGCATGTATATTTCAGAGAAACCATGACAAGATTCCCTTTTCTGTAGTTTGCTTTTTGTGACTTTTCCCGGGGTGAAAACTATAATGAAAAAGGTTTTGAGCTCTGGCCAGAATGAAAATGTTTAAAACTCTGTTTTAATTTTACTAAAGTCAACATTACAGAAAGATAAAAGCCAATATTATTGAATATTTGATTTTGATAAAAGAAAAATGTGGGAAATATAGACAATGTAGGTGTAGCTCTCTGGCCTTGCCAGGTTTTTAGTTCATGTCTTGGGACTCAGAGGCATTTTCACTCAGCAGCAAATCGAAATGTTATTCTCTGGAGAAACTGCTCTGGGTGTTGAGGCTCCAAAACAATAGAGCACACAACAGTAATTGTAGTCTGTCTGCTAAAGGAAGAAGGGTGGTCTTAAAGAATGAAGGGGCCAGACTTGATTATTATTTCTAAGCTACAGTCCAGAAAGAGAGGAGACAGGAGGATGCTTTGGTTGATTTTGAGTGACTTATTCAGTCAGCCAGTGGCACAAGACTAAATTTGTAAATGTTGAATGTTTTGATTGAATTATTAAATGCATTTTTGCTGCCTGGATATTTTGCTAAGTTTACTAAAGATGCCTGATATATGGAAGGAGTGAAAACATTTGAATGTTTAATGGAGAATTTATTCCCTTTAGAAAAATTTGCAAATTTGTTTAAGAAGAGATTTGTAATAATGGACTTTAAAAGAGGTTTAATTGCATATGTATCCCTTGGGTAAAAGATGATGTTCGGGAGTTATGGTTACATACCTTTCCATTTGGACAAAATTAATCTGTTTCAAGTCTTCTAAGTGTTCTTCTTTTGACTTCTCTAGGATCAAGGGGGTCTGGGCATTGCTATTAGCGAAGAAGATACGCTCAGTGGAGTCATCATAAAGAGTTTAACAGAACATGGAGTAGCAGCCAAGGTGAGGCTTTACCTTTCTCTCATAAAGAGGTGGAAGAGGTGGGAATTATTTCTGGAAAGTCACTCAGTCTTCCATATTTCAATTAAGGATGGACGACTCAAAGTTGGAGATCAGATCTTGGCTGTGGATGATGAAGTTGTTGTTGGTTATCCTGTTGAAAAGGTACTTTTCCAAAGTACATGGTACTATAAACTCCTCCTTGGGCATGGCTAACGTGTGCATTTGTGTGCGGTCATAGGAAATTAGGGTTATGTAGCCACATTAGACATATTCCTAAGGAAAAGAAGAGATTATTCAGAAGTTCCTCAGTTTCTCTTTTCTATTTTCCAATCAAGGTGATGTTAAGGTATTTTCTGTTGTGTGGTAAATTGCTCAGTATTCACTGGGCATTTTTGATAAATATCATTTCCATTTTCCCTTAAGAAAACTTGAAACTCCTAAACAATGGCTAACTTCGTGTTATGACCAGAGTAATATTTTTTAATGAATGTTTACTCCCATAAATATCTACTCTGTATATTGCTTTATAGACAAATTTTAAGACTCAGCCATTAAATGTATAACTATTATTGGAGTTAAACGGTTCTTTATACCTGAGTTTCTTTATATCTGAGTTTCTTCCTCCTCAAAAGTGATTATAATACTTAGTTGGAGTCTCACTTGAGGCCTCCTTTCATATATAAGTGTCAGGAAAAAACTTAGTTTCCGCTGAGATGGGGTTTTCTTTTTCTTCGTTACAGTGAGGGAGAACCATGTAATTGACCTTATTTATATTTCTACATTGGCCAGCAAGAAGCTGAAATGCATTTTTTAGAAATGCAGTTTTAATAATTATATAGGTTGGCTGCTGTAACCCATAAATCTGTTTTAACTTTCTGTTTGCTTTGATTTTTCCATTGCAGTTTTCCCATCCTGCTGTTAACATATGTGTTTCTATTTTATTAAAAGTGTTTGTGTAAGCTGCTTCAGATTCTCTGTAGAATCAGTAAGTGGGGAAAATACCCCATGATCTTCTAAGGTTGTGGGGATACAGAAAAATAGACGATAGTAATTAGAAGTGTACAAAGTTCAAAGCACTGTTCTTGTGTAAGGAAGAATCTGGTCATAACTAGACTTACAGTAGAAATTAACTGTGGCCTTAATCTACATCAGACATGTGGAGAACCTGGAGAGAAACTAGAACCATTTCTTTCTTGGCCCCTTAAATTCTGACAAGGAAATAATTTGCCTGTCTCTTCTCCAGATTATATATAGAATTAGATTCCATCAATAATGGTGACTTATTTGCATAAGTCTATTAATTTGCCTTTGAATTTTGTTTCCCCTCCACACCAACACCTTGCCAGTTTATTAGCCTTCTGAAGACAGCAAAGACGACCGTAAAACTGACCGTTCATGCTGAGAATCCAGATTCCCAGGCTGCTCCTTCAGCAGCTGGTGCAGCCAATGGAGAGAAAAAGAACAGCTCTCAGTCTCTGATGTTTCCACCGTCTGGCTCCCCAGAACCGGAGCCCATCCGAAGTAAGAACTGGGCCAGTGAGAGTCCGTCCTGCTCATATGGTGTTGGCATGCTCGGACTCAGTGGGAGGTCCCTACTTGGGAGCTAGCTGCCTGCCTGCAGCTCACTGTTTGAAAGGCCATAGTTAGGGAGCCTTTTGATAACAAGATGGTATAAAGAGAGTGGCTCCTGCAAAAAGAGTACTGGACAGTTAGGCAGGCAATCTGTGTGCTTTACCTAGCCTTGGGGCCTTAGGAAACCCACTCACCCACTCCAAAGTCTCAGCTTCTTCATCTCTAAAACAAGGAAGTGGTACTCTTTGCTCTCCAAGAATCTTTTTCTGAGGGTACCTGTGATTCCAGGTATCTAACTAATGAATTAGATATATTATTTTGTAGATTATTTTTTATACTGGGAGAGTAATTTAACTTCTATAAGTCTCAGTTTTTTTAATCTGTAGAATGGATGAATAATGATCCTGTTTCACAGATAGGATCAATACAGCCTGCCACTACAAGAAACTCTTAAAAATGCTAGTCATTGCAACATTATACATAGTAGATCCGAGTTGTATGGTTCGGGTATTATAGTAGATTCTGTCAAAGTAGATGACATGGATGTATGTGAACCATGGAGTGACACTTTAGTGTATGTATCATTAAACTGCCTGTCTAGTATATGGAGGCAAATCATTTATTTGAGTTACTTTGTGAGAAAAATCACACAAGTATACAGTAAAACAATAAATTTCAAGCTCTGCAGTATTAAGACATTTTTAAAAATTACTTAAACACATTGGCTTTTTCTGCATCTGGGAGGGGAAAAATAAATCTCTTTTGGACTCCAAATTGAAACACTCAGTTCTTTTGACAGGTTTTTAAAGAAACACTAGATTTAAACATTTGTAATATAATTGGACAAAAAAGTCTTAAAGCAATGCATCTCTGATGAAAGTAATCCTTTATTTAGAAAGACTGGATAATTCACTGAAGTGTTAAAGGATTTTGTGGAAATGTTCTCATTTTTCAATTTTATGTTGATCTCTAAATAGCATTGTCTGTAAAAAAAAAATGAAATGCTAAATGAAAACTTAACATAAAAGAAAATATCCTACACCTGTTCTTACCATTTCAGGAGCATAAAAATAGTCTGTTTCTGATTTCCTAAAAGGAGAACATCTTGTGTAAAGCATACGCTACTCTACCAAGTGTCCTAGCTTTTCCCAAAACATGCTATTTGCTGTATACTCTTTGTTGTATCATAAAACATATGATACGATATGAAGACTATCATAAAACAAAGTGTGAAATTATATTCTCCTTGTTTTCTCATAATCTGCTCCTACCTATTCAGCTCTGAGAGTGTATGCACCAGGATTTGATATCTGAATTTGTACAAATCAAATGAGACCCCAGGGGAAAAGCTACAAAGGATGCATACATGCCCTGAGTCAAAGAAGAAATGCTCTAGGATAAGAAGAAAAGGAAAACAAAAACATGTAACACCCTGAAAAGCCGGCACCATGACCAAAATTATTGATGTGTTTTGTGGTCTTCCCTGAGTGCGCTTCTAGGTCACTGCCACATATCTCCCTCTGAGTTTTATAAATCTTTATTTCATAAGAAGTGTGTTTGGCTCCAGTGAAATGTAGAAGATCAGAGTGAAACTAGAGGTTCAGCTCAACTCTGTTCTCCTTCCTTGACAGCCTATCCTTTATATCTCAGGCAATTTAAAAAAATACGGAATAGTACTGAAGATAATTAAACAGGAAATTTTATGCCCACTACCCTAAATCAACAATGATGATTTAATCATATTTGTTTGATATCTTTTAATATAAGATAACTAGAAGATTAAGATAAATTTGAAGTCTTCTTTTTCCCCAGCCTTGGGCCTGTTTCCCTGCTCCATTTCTCAAAAGCAATCAGTGTGGTTTGTTAGAAGTATGTGCCTTCTAATCACTTTTTATGTGTATTTCATTTTATTTTCAACTTATTTTTAGGTACAAGCAGGTCTTCAACACCAGCGATCTTTGCTTCTGATCCTGCAACCTGCCCCATTATTCCTGGCTGTGAAACAACAATTGAGATTTCCAAAGGGCGAACAGGGCTGGGCCTGAGCATCGTTGGGGGGTCCGACACGCTGCTGGTGAGTCCCCACCCAGAGGGGCTGCAGCTACACAGACAGCGCTGGCTTCAGCCAGTCCTGATGACCATTATCAGGGACATTTCTATCAGTTTTATTAAATGAAATATAAAGACTAAAGAAAACATATCATTCATTTTTATTTTAATTTATATGGCAAACATTCAATTGGGTACTGAGATTTTCACTTTTAGGAAGCCAATACTGACTCAATAAGATACTGTTACACTTGTGAGAGGTGACCTTTAGTTTCAAAATGTTTCTATCAGTTAACTAGTCTATGCCATATTTTAATTTCCTTTTTACTGATATTTAGGTTGGGTTAGACCCATATTAAGAGAGGTCTGAAAAACTGGATTCTTAGTAGACAAAATTTCCTAACTGTCAAGTCCTTTTTACTGATATTTAGGTTGGGTTAGACCCATATTAAGAGAGGTCTGAAAAACTGGATACTTAGTAGACAAAATTTCCTAACTGTCAAGAATACTTTTTTTTTTTTTCCTTTTTGTCTTTTTTTACTGACCGGTAACGGGATCGCAACCCTCGGTGTCGCGCCTGCACCACGCTCAGCCAGTGAGTGGGAACCGGTCTCCACATGGGATCCGAACCCTCGGTGGGAGCGCCGCCGCGCTCCCAAGCGGCGCACTCTCCAGTGTGCCACCGGGCTGGCCCTGTCAAGAATACTTTAAAAATTATTTCATATATGCATAGGAAAGGTGATATGTCTTTAGTATACATGTGTATGTATGATTTATATATTTTAGCACCTTTTTTAAACCTTCCTACCATTAGAAAAAAAAAGTATAAGCTTCTTTGAGACTTTTGGCAAAAATTGTGTTTTTATACTTTTCCTCGAATTATGATATGTTAATCACATATGGATCTAGTACATGCATAACCCTATTGCTTTCTATAAATGTACAGTGTGTTTGGACTCCATTTCTGCTCACGGTCCCTAGGAAGGATGGGATAAAGCGTGGGTATGTTTTGTTTGGACCCTTAGGGTGCGATTATTATCCATGAGGTCTATGAAGAAGGAGCAGCATGTAAAGATGGAAGACTCTGGGCTGGAGATCAGATTTTAGAGGTACAGAACGCTTGTTTTTGACCTTCAAAAATAACAGAGAAAAGGCAGTCAGGGGGAGGGGTGTTTCTTTCTCTCTCTCCCCTCCTCCCCCACCCTTTCTTTCTTCACTGCACTTAATTCATCTGGTTCCTCACAGTCAGTGTCCCATTTCTGTATAGGTGAATGGAATTGACTTGAGAAAAGCCACACATGATGAAGCAATAAATGTCCTGAGACAGACACCGCAGAGAGTGCGCCTGACGCTCTACAGAGATGAGACCCCATACAAAGAGGAGGATGTGTGTGACACTCTCACCATTGAGCTACAGAAGAAGCCGGGAAAGGGCCTGGGATTGAGTATTGTTGGTAAAAGGTGTGACAGAGGAGGAAAAACCCAATGACTTTTTGGAAATGATTGAACTTAAATTATTTTAAAGAGTAATGGCAGGGGTAGAATCTTTATTAATGGCTAGTGTTCTGTACATAACTGTTGTTAGCCTACTCACTAAGGGATGATAAAAAGGTGTTGGTTTAAAATTTTTTTTTAATTGAAACATAATTGATTATACATATTTGTGGGGTACAGAGTTGACTATCAGTATTTTTGTCTAATGTGTGATGATCAAATCAGGATGGTTGGCATATGGTCTTAAATTTTAAAGTCAGTTATTAGGGGATTTTGATGGCACTCAACAAAAAGCCATTTGGTGCCTGTGTCTGTGTGTGTGTGTGTATATATATATATGTGTATAATATATATATATATATTATTTATTTATTTATTTGAGTTTCTGCTATGTGGCAGGAAATACATTAGGCTCTAGGAGCAAAGTTATTTAAGACATGGTTCCTAAATTCATGGTCTGGTGAACAAGAATTAAATATATTCATGCAACAATGCAGTCTATTGATGAGTGACTGAGATGCATTGCAGGGGAGCCATGCGTAGCAAAGGAGAAAGGGACCAAGTGACCCTATTTAAGGGAAGTGGATTAGGGAAAACTTCCAAGAAAAGAGGTACCTGAGCTGAGGTTAAAAGTGATCGATGGTAGTTGGTCTATTAAAGGGGAGTGGAGGGTATTCTAGAGAGAAGGATCAGCATTGACAAGAGTATGCCATCAGCAGGGGACAGAAAGCATGGGGCAAGGGGCTGGATAGTGACAGATTAGTGAATGTACATAAACTCAGTTCCTAATTTATTTCAATATGTATATATGTGTACATTTAAGCCATATTTATATAAAAGTAATATTCATAACAATATATAATCCAGCAAATTCCATAAGTCTTTCATCAGTTTGGATCTGATCCTCAGAATATACCAGATAGTTAAATAAATGAAGTCAGCCTTCAGTAATAAGTGACTCTGTAGTCTGCAGAGGTCCTAAGTTAGTGTTACCATTTTTCAGGCCTCAGAGATCCACAATTTCAAAGCAGCTTATTTTTTACAGTGATCCAAAAATCTGTGAAATTGTGACCTTCATGTCAGAATGCCCTTCTTTGGAAATAGGCATTCTTCAGAATGCCCAAACTAGCACCACGCTTACCTGGTACTGCACCAGTGTTTCTGTGTGGGAAGAAAAGGATATTTATACCAGTTTATTTTTTTCAGAGACAAGGACTCATTTTTTTTTTTTTAGCACATAGAAAGAATGTAGCATATTATTTGAACTCAGTGCAAATATGTCTGAAAAATTAGGCATCCCTTTTGGAATACACTATCAGTAGTCTAGCTCTTGTGAAATATGATATATTTAACATTTATTTGGGGTGCCAGATTATCACACTTGTGGGTTCACCAGGTCACTATAAAATCTTCCTTTAAGGTGTCCTAAACCATTTGCCTTGGGAAGATTATCAGAAGACCATCTAATCCAACCCCCTTGTTTTGAAGATGAGAAGCAAAGAACCAGATGGTGAAATGGCTTGTTTGAGATCACGTCCTTGGCAAGAACAAGCAGTGCAATTCTGCTCTCCTTGTACATTTCTATGTGCGATTTTCTTTGTATCATAGCAAGAAGTGTCTTTGTTTTTTACAGTTTTGTGAAAGAAAAGATTGGAATAAGATTAGTGTTTGTTCATTTTGCATAAATTTGTCTTGCGTGAAAGTTAGATCCGTAATGATTTAAAATAAAAGGCACTGCTGCATTGGTACTTAAGTTTTAAGTAATGAGTGGTTTTAGTTTGGGATATAAAATATTTGTTATTTATTTTCAACAATGTTAATGATGTTGATGATAATAGCTTCATATTTATGGAACCACAAGTCAATGTCCATTGAAAGCTTTGTCATGGTGTGGAAAAGAACCATAGATTTAGTACCCAGGGACTAACTCTTAAGTCTCATTTTTGCCATTTACTAGCTCTGTGACCCATAAAATGAGAACAGTAGCATCCACTTCTTCTCATGGTATATAATTGATGAAGAATAAATATGTTTGAGAAAGATCCTTTTGATCTATGAAATACTATAAGACATCGGCTATTTATTACAAAATATAATTAATGTTGCCCCACTGTGGCTCAAAACAGTTAAACTTTTTTTTT